GCCCGGGGCCGGAGGCGGCCGCGCGGCGGCAGCGGCCGCGGCGCAGCAGCAGCAGCGGGCACCGCCGCGGGACACAGGGTACTTTGATGACGACATGAGGTGGGGCCCAGGGGTGGGCACGCGGCGGCGAAGGGCGACTGCACTGTCCTGTACATTGCTGAGCCAAGGGGCGGTTGTGGAGCTGACAGCAAGGCTGGTAGGGAAACAATGCTGGTCAACATCAAAAGCGGGATTAGGAGGGGCAAGGCGGGTAGCGTGGCTGCTGCTGAGTTGTAGCCCGAAGCCCCTGTCTTGTCTACACAATCCCCACCCACACTCCGATCCTGATCCCAATCGCCTCGCCTGAACATTCTTTTTATCTCACCCGCGCACCCAGTGACGAGATGGACGACTTCATCGACGACGGGGAGGGCGAGGGCGCGGGGCGGCGGCGGCGGCGCCGCGCGGCGGGCAGCGGCGGCGGCGGTTTTGCCAGCCAGGCTATGGCTGAGGCGGCGCGCATCTTTGGCGACGCCACGGTGGGCGCAGCGGGAGCGGCTATTGCAATTCATCGTATTTCTCATTGCTGCTGCTGCCCTCTGAAGCGGGTTTCCTTTGTGGCTGCGACGGGGGCGGCGCTGTCGAAGCTGGGGTTGAGGCTGTGGGCGACCGTGGACGCCCTTCCGCCCGCGCTCCCCGGGCGGCGGGCCCTGAGCCCCCCAGCCCGCATGCCCGGGCACAACAACATCGGTCACCATGACTCCCACTACTTGACAACTCCCTCTTGAAACACGTCACTTCGTGAATTGTGACCCGCCACTGCCTCGACACAGCACCAACCCACAAATCCAGCAGCCCACCTGGCCCCGCAAAAACCGCCCCTACCTCCAAACGTCAGCCCCACCACCCCACACGGCACGACAAGGCGCGACCCGACACGGACGACTTGACTCACCATGACACACCATGACGTCATCACCCCTCCCCCGCAGGACCTGCACGACCTGGTGGCCAGCCGCCGCGCCCTGGCCGCGTCACAGGGCGGTGCTGACGCGGGCGGTGACGAGGGTGTGGATGAGGAGGAGGAGGAGGGGCTGGAGGAGGGAGACGAGGAAGATGAGGAGGCGGCGGCAGACGCCAGGTGTGTGTTTGGGGGGGGGGGGGCGTGCCTGTGCACCCTTGTGTTGGGCACCTGGTTTGGAGGGGTGTGTGATGGGTGTGAGTGCGGGGGGCGCGTCACAGAGTTGGTCGGTGGATTGAGGGGGTTGGGGGAAGGCGGGTTACAAGGAGTCCTGGGCTGTACGAATAGAGACCTGCGTTGGGGGAAGCAACTGGGTTGGTCGAGGAGGGGCGCGAGCTTGTTGGGTGAGGCGATGCCGAGGGTGAGGCAGAGACCGCCACCAAGCACAGGCGGGAGAGCCCACGGCTTGTATCACAACAAGAGAGCAGCCGCTGAGAAGGAAAGACGCCGGTTGTCTTGCACCGCGCCTCAATCTCAACCCACCCCGTCGCGCGAGCTGCTGCATCTTCCCCCCTCCCCCTGCCCATGCACCATGCAGGGAGCGGCGCGCAGCGCTGGCGCGCGAGCGGCAGCAGCAGCGGCTGCTGGACGCGGCCGACCCCGAGTACGCGGCGGCGCACTACCTCTCAGCAGAGGACGAGGTGGGGGCGCGGGGCGCGCCTGGCTGGGGTCTTGAGGGCTTTTTGGGGTAGCAGCCGGGCCTTTGAAAGTGTCTGAAGCATCGCGGACTTTCTTACCCCTGAAACCGGGCCGCCTTCGCGCCGCCCCACATCACTCCTTGCCATTTTGTCCTCCAAACGCCGCCGCCCTTCTCCCTCCTTCTTTCTTCGCCTTCCAATCCCAATCCCAATCCCGACCGCCGCCGCCGCCGCCGCCGCCAGGCCATCCGTGCGGCCGACCGTCCCGAGCGCCTGCAGCTGGCCCTGCGCAAGAACATGGCCGCGCTCGCGGTGAGCGCTCTGCGGTGCATCTATGGCGCGTGGGCGTCGCAGCACCTGGGGCAGCGCTAGTGCGCCTGGCGGGCAGGGGGACGAGCGCTGGGTGGTGGGGGGGGGGGCGTGCTGCCAACCCTGCGCCTGGTACGGAGCTGGCCGCTTGGAGGGCCTCCGCCCCAGCCCCTGCCACCACTCATCTTTTCCTTGCTCTCATCCGCCAGGCCATGTCTGAGGCTGACTTCAGCAGCCTGATGGAGAACATGGCAAAGTGCGGCCCGCATTGCATCTAACAGGACTCGGCAGCTTTGGTTTTGTTTTTTTGGGGGGCGGGGGAGGGGGTGCTTTGGGGCCGCACCGTGCCAACTACAGAATGTGTTGTTGTATGTCCTGCCAATAGCCGGCACCTGCAGCTTGATCACGGCGTCCAATCGGTGGCTTGTAGCATGCAGCATGCCGCCCTGAGCGCCCGCAAGCATCGTTGCGAGCACTCTCGCTGCGTCCCCCCCCTTTTTGCCCTCTCACCCCCCCCCAGGTGGGTGTACGACAACGTCTTTGCGGAGACGGCCCCGGAGCGCCTGCCTCGCCAGGTCAGCAGGGGCGGCGTGCGGGGGCACGCATACGTGCCTGCCATTGTGTGCGTGGTGGGGGCCGTGCATGTACGCGTGGGGGTGTGCCTGGCACGCTGGGCAGGGGCCGGCCTTCACATCTTGAGGGCCAAGTCTGTGCGCCCCGCCCATCAGCAAGCCCTGCCGCCACGTCGCCCACGCGGCGCGCGACTCGCGCCGCCGCCGGGCGCGTCCTCATGCCCCCTTGCGCCCCGCCGCTGCTCTCCGCCCGGCGCCCCTGCGGCTTCGCGATGCCCCCCCTTTTCCGGGTCGCACGCCTCCCGCTCAACCCTCCCCACCTTCAGCAACCAAGCATCCCCAATAGCAGATGCACCACTACCAACATCACCAACACAATCAACAACAATACATTGCAACGCCAGGTCGTTGAGAACGGCCGGCTGGAGGTGTGCGGGCCCTACCTGGAGGACCCCGCAGACCCCGAGGTGGGTCAGAGAGGGTGTGTGTGTGTGTGTGTGTGTGTGTGTGTGTGGTTAGGGGTGGGTGGAGGGGGGTTACAGGACGATTTGCGGAGTGGAAGGGCAGATGGTGTGTGTGTGTGTGTGTGTGTG